ATGGAAGCAGCAGTCAAGAAATCAGATGACGTATTGCATTAGGCAAATCAGCTGCACAAGACCTTTTTAAAACGTTGAAGAGCAAAGATGTCAGCTTGAAGACTAAGGTGCACCTGATCCAAGCCATGGTATTTTCAATAACCTCATATGCATGCGAAAGCTGAACAGTGAATAAGGAAGACCATAGAAGAATTGATGCTTTTGAGTTATGATGTTGGAGGAGAATACTGAAAGTGCCATGGGCTGCCAAAAGAAGCAACAGATCTGTGTTGGAAGAAGTGCAGCCAGAGTGCTCCTTAGAGGCCAGGATAGCCAAACTTCGTTTCTAATACTTTGGACATATTGTCAGGAGGGACCAATTGCTAGAGAAGTATATCACGTTTGGTAGGGTGGCGGGTCAGAGAAAAAGAAGAAGACCCCCAGTGAGCTGGATTGGCAAAGTGGCAGCATCAATGGGCTCAAGTGTGACAACAATAGTGAGGTTGGCCAAGGATCTGGCGGTGTTTCATTCTGCTGTGCATAGGTTGCTATGATTCGGTACTGACACAATGGCACCTAACAACAGCAACAATAGAATGGTCAACCATTCAAGATCAAAAGAGCACCATTTACCTACAGACAAAATTCAGAAGCATGGAAAAGAAGGAGAAACAGCAACAAGAAACCACTGATCTGTGTATCTTGACACCACTGATGAGCCCCTCATTTAAGCAAGTCCTCCTTGATCTCTGCACCGCCAGTCTGTGTTGATTCTTCTACCTATCTAACGTCTTCAGTGTTTCAGCTGGTTCAACTGGCTAGAGGTGTGCTTTAAAGACATTTTCAGTTGAATATGCTAGAACACGTCAAGTGAACCATGACTGAAAACTCTCCTTGGCCCATCTTAAGTCTACTACTTCCTTCTCTTTAGCATTTAATATAATGACATTGTATCCACCCAGTTTCCCAAGCTTAAACATCAGGTTCATTGTCATCTTCTCACTCTCTTATTCCCTAATTCTAAGCCCTCTTGAGTGTATTCCTGAGAAGCTTCTCAAATCCACTTTCTACCCTCTCTTTCTTATTACATTGGTTCAAGCTATTTTCTTTTGTTTGAATTATTGCAATAATTTAACTGTTCTTCCTTCTTCTGATTCCTTTGTCTTCTGTAGTCTTTCTCAATACTATAAGGTAGCTCCTCCACCAGGAATTATTAACAGTTTAAAAACATTTAATTGCCCCCCATTCACCTTATGATAAAGTCCTGATACCTAAGCCTGAATTCTTAGGAACTTCATCATCTGGTGGTGCAGTGGGTTGAGTGTTGGGCTGCTATACGAAAGGTTGGTGGTTTGAAACCTCCAGACATTCCACAGAAGAAAGATTTACAGCCTCAGAAACCCTGAGAAGCAGTTCTACTCTGTCCTACAGAGTCACTATGAGTTAGAATCAAGTCAACAACAGTCAGTTTTTTTTGTTTTGTTTTGTTTTTTGTTTTTCATTATCTGGCACCATATTGGCCATTTCAGCCTCCACTCCTCATGTGACCTGTGCTTATAGAACCTTTGCTTTATGACAAGCACCATGCTAAGCATTGTTACCCCTTCTCTGAAGACTCTCCTAGGCAGAATTAGGTTCTTTCTACTCTGCCCTTAAGTGCATGTTAGGCACACAGTAAACATTTGTTGAGTACTTGATGATCTTTATCAAGTTGCATCTCACTTTGTCTGTATTAAACACCCAAATTTAAAAAATATTTTTTCATGTCACATTCTTCATTACTTTGTAATATTTTTATTGCCTTTTCAAACTTTTTTAGTCTTTACCTCCATTTTAAATTCAGTGATTAAAATTGGTCATGAGACTCAGATTAGGATCAACGATCAAAGCAGAAAATGCTTTTTTGCCCTTGCAGTAGGCTGTACTATTACTGTCGTGTAGTGTGATATCTTCTCTTTTGGGGGTCATTTTACGCATAGCATCTTGGCTTTTCATTGAGTTTTGTTTATGGAACCAGTATTTTAAATTCTCACAGTAAATTACAATTTTATTTCTGTCTTCCATGATTTTAATAATAGCTTAGCACCATCTGCGTGTTTGAGCACATGATCTGTGCCTTTCATTAGATCAGTCATCCTGAGGATATTGAATGGCATAAAACCCAAGGCCCTTAGTAACTGCCCTTTGTGTGTCACTTTCAAACCATTTGTACATTAACAACAAGACCATACAATTCCAGACTGTAATTGAGAACATAATGTAAGACACAGCAAAATAACTCATTGAAAGCAGACGAGGTACCTTTGTGGTAACTAAATCCAAGTCTTTCCCTCCTTATATACACATACACCTGAATATATATATATATATATTTTTTTTTTTTTTTCTTTCATCTGGTGTCGTTTATTCCACTTTGTGCTAGGTATTATGCTTTCATTTCTCCTTTATCTGTGTATTCTGTTACTCATAATAATAATTTAGGGTATCTGACATTACTTCTTCATTGGAAAACTATAGAGATAACTTCATGGTATGTAATAATCTTACAAACAGTTTAATCATGTAACATAGTAGTTTTCTAGGTATTGAATGTTAAATAGATGAGTCACGAAACTCCAAGAATATTCTTTTTTTTGAAAATAGGAACATCATTTGTCTACTCCTGAATCACAGTATCAGGAATTATGAATTAGTACTTTTCTTTATGTCACATAGTTGTTAGTATCCTTGACAGTCTGGTGGTAAAGGGTCAACAATAAATGAAAACAGCTCTTCTACAACCACCAGGAGACAGGTGTTGAGTGCCTGAGAATACATCACTATACCGTCATCCACTAAATATAAATATGACACCAAAACACAAACAGCTTACTGCTTACACAAAGAAATCTTAAACAAGTCACCAAAACAGAGAGTTAGAAGATATAACACCAGAAATGCTATTGGAACTACTTCATAAGGAATTTGAAAGAATTCTAATTAGGCAAATTCAATGAATTGAGAGAAAGATTGAGAAAACTACAGATTAAATCAAAGAAAATATAGACAAAACTATGGGGAAAATTGGGAAACAGATAAATATAAAGAATGGGAACCATACACAATCAATAAATAGAAAGCCATAATAACTCTTTAAGACTTCAGAAATAGGTAATATACTGAAAGAACAAGGAAATAAAATTGAATCAATGGAAAGCCAAATTACTTAGATTGAAGAAAAAAATTTTCAATCATCTGCTAGAGGTACAATCGGAAAAAAGAGCAAAAAAATTCAAAGAAAGTGTAAAATTTATGTGGGACAATATCAAGAAGAATAACTTACATGTGATGCAAATTCCAGAATAGGAAATTCTCCAAAATCCCATTGAGAATGTTGTCCAGGAGTTGTTGGAAAAGAAACATCTCTAAAATCATAAAAGACAAGAAGATAGCCATTCAAGATGTTGACCTAACTCCAAACAGGATAGACTGAAAAAAACAAAACAAAAAACCCCAAGGTGTATTATAATCAAACTTTTCAAAACCAAAGACAAAGAAAGAATCCTAAAAGCTACAAGTTACCTGCAAAGGAAAACTAATAAGATAAGCTCTGATTTCTCAGCAGAAACCATGCAACAATGGAATGACATATATAAAACTCGGCAAGAAAAAATTTGTCAACCAAGAATCATATATCCATCAAGTGTCCATCAAACTTGGTGGCAAAATTAAGTCATTTTCAGGCAAACAAATTAAAAGAATTTGTAAACATCAGACCAACCTTACAAAAAATACTAAAGGGAGTTCTTTGGATAGAGAACTAACAAAGGTAGATAACAACCTGAGATTAACATGTATGACACTCTCGGTTAGACTCAACATGGATAATATTGTTATTAAGTGCCGTCAAGTTGGTTCCGACTTCATAGTAACCCTGTATAGGGGTTCCAAAGAGTGGCTGGTGAGATTGAATGCTGACTTTCTGGTTCAAACTCACCAGTCACTCTTTGGAAATCCTAACCAGGATCTCTGTGAGTCAGAATTGACTTGACAGCACTTAACAACAATGAAGTAAAATAGATCTATTAGACTGAAAAGAGAGAACCAGAGATAGAGTTGGTAACAACAATGACATAAACCAAAAACCATAAAGTAAAAAGGGAATAAGAATAATCTAGTTACAGAGCTTTCAAATGAAGAGGAATTTAATAGATTTCAAGAAAAAAATTAAATAGATAAAAATAAACCTAACTATAAACCTAAAAACT